TTTTTGTTATAGTCATTAAAAAATATTCTCACGCTAAACCTATTACAGCTTAAAAATCTTTCTTGTGTAAAAATTATAATTATATATATGTGTATATATATAAGCGTTTAACTCTATTCATTAGATCACGTACGTAAGTAAAATATTACATAAATAAGAGTAATATTCACATGGAAATATTTAAGAATATTGGAAAATATATCGGTGCAATAGAATTTCACTCTCTTGATATTTCATCGATAAAAACTAAAATCGTATTCAACGTATATACGTTTATTGTGTACTTACCACCATTTCCAGTAATGCAGGCAACACAAAACCAAGCCAAACCAGCAGTCCAAGCAAACGGAGAAACACATTTGTGAAGTAAAATTATAGTTTCGTTCGAAGACAATTCATTTCTATAACCATGCATACCAAATAATACTACTCCTAATAAACCTACACTCAAAATCCACAGTAAGACACAAGTAATCTGAAATATAATAAATAATCATTACTAATGAACTTACAAGAAAATATTTTTGAAGGTCAATTCATACAAAAAGGTCCTATCATTACTCTATTATCTTTAATTATATAGCAGTGCAGTGCCAAAAACAGCTGGCACATATTAGAGCATACTCTTCATACGCTCTTATATAAAAGGTGGTATTATGAAACTCCATTTTCATTATAGTGAATTGTAAACAAGGTATCATAACTACGCCTACATTTTTTGTACGAAAAGTACTAGTAACTATTAAAATAAATGTTCCTAATTGGATTTTTTCGCTAGCATAACTATAAGTACGGATTTTGAAGACATCTGTAAAAAAGTCAATAAATAGATTTTGGGAAGATGGGTGGTAAAATGGAACTCCACTATATATTTTCAAAAAATGCTTTAATGTATCCAAAAATAAATAAAAAAGTACAAAAATAGTTAATTAATTACAAAATCATTTACTCCAATGTATTTTATTTTAAAAAATGCTTAAATAATAAAAAAGGATAAATGTACAACGAAGAAGCTAATCATTTACAAAAATCACAAATGTAATGCTCCTTTTCAGCATCAGCACAATCTTTATGTGCCCACACAATGCACATTAGACATTTCACCCACACCTCACCATGATCATCATCTTCAAACAACCCATCACAAAAACAGACAGGAAGCTGTTTTTGTGATGAGTTGTTTGCAGATGATGATCATGGTGTCTCCTTGTCAGGCAAGTCAAAAGAAGAATCAACAGATGAGGGGTTGTCAATTGAGTCGTCATTACTCGAAACGCTACTGACGTGTTGTCGCATTGCCTTGGGTGTTTTGTCTTATGTTGGCCTTTTAACACCGGAAGTTAAGGGCTGATCTTTTTGCACAATAGTCGATGTTGCTCCTCTTCCACGTTCCCTGCCACGACTCGAACTTTTTCCTCTGTTTGGTGGTTTTGTGTCTGTAGGTTTTGCCATAGACGCCTCCAAATTTGTCTTGTTAGAAGAGCTTGATTTCCTGCCTCTGTTCGATTTTTTTTGCTGAGGAATTGACACAATATCACTTGGAGAAACAGATAATGCCCTTACTGAACTTCCAGGACGTAAACTGGTAGTTGGAGTTGTTGGTGTAAGGCTTGGAGTACTTTGACATTGTGGAGTGACAGAGTTTGAGGATGATCCTGGTATTTGCATTATCATGACTTTAGTTGGTGCATCCTCAATAGCAGCATGATCTGCAGCAATGAAATCATCATCTGTAAAACGTGTCTATTAAATGGTCATATGCCAGTGACTTTGAAGCCATTCACGGTATATAAACCATTGGTGCACTGTAGATAAGCAGTTTTTAAAAGTCCTGTGATGTCGTAAGGCATGAGACGTTTAACTTCAAGAATCGTGTGTTGATGTACTGCCTCTCTGTAGAACGTCTTGAGTGGTCCCATGAATGTTCTATCTAACAGTTGTAATTTGTGTGCTGTGTGAGGTGGTAAAGAAATTATTGAAACGTAGTTCTTCCTTCTAATTCAAATCACATCCATATTTCTAGTGTGGAAATAATGCCCATCTAGAATCAGCAAAATGGACGATGCTGCGGTAGGTTTCGTCTTAGCTAGGAAATGTTCGAACGATTGTGTGAATAAATTTGCCTGAACCAATCCTGAGGGATGGACTCTACCAATGGCTCCTGGTGGAGCACCTCTCATCAATTGGTCAGACATATTTTTCCGAGGAAAAATTATCAATGAAGGGAGGAAAGATCCCCCAGCATTCATAGCACAAATCACTATTACCAGTTATCCACGTACTGCCGCAGTCAAAGCACCAATTTGTCGCTTCCCTTTCAACTCAATAACCTGTGGCACTTTGAACTGCATGACACTGAACCCCGTTTCGTCAACATTCCAGATTTTATCAGCCTCATATCTGTGCTTCTCGTACTCTGATTCTAGGAGGTCAAAAAATGGCAAAACCCTCTCGTTGATGAAGCTTTTTGTGCGGGCGTATGACAGACCCTGTGGGTCTTCTTAGAGACAGCTGTTCTTTATGGCGGCTCAAAAAATGATCTAGCCAAGACCATTCTTCAAGCACCTCTTTAAACTGGTTTGGAATGTTTTGACGCATAGCTAGCTGGAACACCATTCTCCTCAAATCCAGACTTGTGAGTCCATAAAATATGGCCTCCATCGACAATGTATATTCCACCAGTTCTTTTTCGATATCCTCAGGAAGAACTGGCTTTCAAATTGCTCCGGAATGTCTGTTTGCAAAGAGAAAGTTCGCAGAGTACATTTTAGCACTTCATAACATTTTGCAGCTATCTTCAGCCCCATTTTCTTGTCTCTTACGATACTCACTGCCTCTGCCATAGTTTCCTGGCTCCATGTTTGTCTCTTTGTGTTTGTCTTTGGCTTGTTCAGTTAGACTCTAGGCATCTAAAAATTTAAAAAAAATCAATTTAAAAAAATCAGTTTGAAAGAACACTTTTATCTATCCAGAACAGCCTTTATAACCAAACTAACTTCAGAATTTAGCTAGATCTACTTATCTATAGTGATAACTACTAGGCATCTATTTCTAATTTTTTCATTTTCTTTCTATTTTTTCATTCATCTATCACATACTTTTACAAAAATTATTCCGTGGTTTGAATTTGTTGGTAATATGGAACCCAACTTTTCTGGGGTCCGTATTTCACACATTGCCATCTTGGATTAACTTATTTCTGCCGACACCAAATTCTAAAATCGTGAACATCAGACAGATTAACATGTACCACTAGGTCTCTAGAACGGGACAAATCATCAGTGAACCTAGAACTACACGATTAATATTTTAAAAATAATTAAATTTACTTACCATTCAAAAGTTTGGAATTGCTAAAAACACAAATGTCCTGTTTCGCTAAGAGCAAATAACTGAAGTGGGATGAGTCTTCCCCTTGCTATGGATGTCTGCCTAGTGCAGTTCAGCCGCAATCTGCTAGAGTTCGCCTCTATTATCAGTCTGAAATGGAAGAGTTCCATAATGCCACCTTCCGGTCTACGTGCCAGCTTGTTTTGGCACTGCATTACTGTGTCAATGTAAATGACAACTCTATAGTAACTTTTACTTTCGCTTTTATTAAACATAAAAAACGCTTTCCATTCTATGAAAGGTTTTAAAAAAATAGTGAGTTATTTAGGTACTTTGTAAAAGTTAATGCTGATTTTGCTTGTCGATAAAAGCCTACTCGGATATACTGTTATAAGTGCGAAAATTGTTTTAAGGATAGTATTTTATACTGTAATTCACTATGAAAACATCATAGATGCAAGGATCTAAAGTTTAGGTTATTTCTATCTTCATACAATGCTAATTCTGCACCATTGGATTTCTTGCTGTTCCAAAAAGTAAGAATACAAGCAACCCTCGACTTTCGGACGTAACTCTTTCCTTAAAACATGTAAGAAATCCGAACAATACAATTGTAAGTGATAAAGAAAATTCCGTTCTTAGGAAGTTAAAATAAAAATATAAACTTTCATATTAAGAACTGAAAAGTTTCAACCTTTTAGAGTGAATATCTCACGTTATAAAACCGTTAAAATCATGGAGTTAACACCCAAGGAACAATAGTTTGCAGCTTTAAAAGCAAAACTAGTATAAAGGACTACTGTACGATAGGTCAAAATTTTTGTTTATCAGTTGAAAATGTACGAAAATTCAAATTTGACATAGGAAACGTGATTCAGAAATATCACGATGTTATGCAAATTATAAAAGAAAGAGTTCTCTGAAACTCGAGAGGCACTTGCATACAGGGCCGCGGAGATCTGGGAATTTTTCTCTGTCATAGAGATAATAAGACAATAATAAGAATGAAGTTAACTTACTTTTCCAAATTTAGCTTTTCTGTCATTTGAAAAATGGGAGCCAAGTAATAATCCGAAACAATAAGAACTTAGATGAGAAAAGTAAGGTTTATCGTAATTCTTGTAAGTATAATTAAATATTGTGCTGAAATAATAAAAAAAATTAATTTATTTCATTAAATTTTTCTAAAATTAGTACGTATATATTATTCATAAATTAATAGTATACGAATATATTACTCCATATTGAAAGACATTCCTATCATTAAATAATGTTTCTTGAGCCAAATGTTTGATACATGCGATGCAACGCCTGTTGCTGTTAAAATAATCATGACGTAAATTCCAATTCTTGGTTGTCTGGAAAAATTTTGCAGGTAAGATTAAAAATATTCTGTATATTTATAAAATATTGTATATGCATTTACAATTGCAAAAACGAAAGAATCGTTTTGTAATTATTTTCAAACTAAACTGAAATTTAAAAAGAATTGTAGCATTATTGTAACCAGTTAAATTTCAGGCGATTGTTCCAAGTCATCAGTTGAATTGTTATGTAATCGACAGTGAATTCTGTTTCTAATACTCAGCTTTTGTGGTCAGGTTTATAAGAAATGTAGCCAGCATCAATTTTGTTTGTGGCAATTATAAGGGTTGCAATATACTCTTCATGAATGAATGGTAGGAAGGTTGAGAACACTAATGCAGATCGAACACAATACGAATATTTTGCGATTGGACTGTTTGTGGACACAGCGCACTTTAATAACATTTTCCTCCAGCAACATGTCATGTGTTATAGCATTTCCAAACAAAAACGTCTACCTCCATCAAGAGTCGTGCGGCTCTCACTTTTTCTTGGTTATGGGAGAAAAAGAACGCCATAGAACAACGGATGTCACTACTCGCTACTCATAAATTAGCGCTAGTATTGTGCGAGCCGTTGCTAATTGGTTGTTGACGACAATTTCTCAGGTTTCCGAACTTTCGAGAAAATCGATAATGGCCAACTTCCTTATCCGGAAACACATTTTGTAACGTCAAAATCGGCTAACAGATCACGTTGGGAATAGAACTCGTGTAGTGTTCGTCCCGCTTTCGGCATAATCCTGCCATTTTGGGGATCTGAATCGAATCTGTGTATTGAACCTCCATCATTTACAAGAGAAGTACTGATTCTTACAAGTACTTTAATTGACAACAAAGCCTTTGGTGCACTCAGCTCACATAACTATAATACTAGTTTGAATATACACGAAAAAGCAATAAAATGTTTTATAAGATAAGTACTTATCAACAATATATTGTAGTTAATTATATAATATTTCATAATATTAAATACAACTTACTTGGAATGAATAAAATGTATTGGTACTGTAAGGATCGTTAGTTGCATTAATGCGTGTAAAAACCAGAAATGCTCTGTATACTATTAAATAATAGATATAAATATGATTAATATAGTACATTTAAACTTCCTATAATAATAATAATATAAAAGTTAAAGAAAATTTCATTCATTCATTGCTAATTTGTAAATTATTGTCATTAAAAAATACTTCAATTATATTACCATTTTTAAACTGAATATATAAAATCACTGAACATTGATGGTCACGGGTTCAGTCCTCACCAATATGCTGCCCCAGTGAAATTCTCTCGGTTTTATTCCCCTGTGTAATACTTAAATAGAGGCAACCACACCATAGAAAATTTTCCACGAATGACTTTTATGAGAAAGTGGTGCCGATTTAGGTATTAGATACATAAAAATTCCCGGTAATCTCCACATGGTCAACCTTGGTTAAGCGCAAACCTTTCACCATATACGTGTTCAGTGATTTCGCCCACCCCGTTACTAGAAAGTTAGGTAACGACACTGTTGTGCTTCTAATTACGAAGTGGACCATAAATTAACGCAACAAATATCTCCAGCAAATGGCTGGTGAATTTATTTGTGGATGCACAAAAAGTAGCCCTGAATTAACACAGAACCAACATCAGGCACATAGAAAAAAACACGTTCGACAGACGAACGCTACAAACCTTTTTCTTTAAAAGTGCGCGAGAGAGAGAGTGCACCCTCTTAGTAGTTTTTATTTAAAATAAAATAAAACAAAATATCTTCTGTTGGTCCGAACAGACACATTGAAAATATTGTACAATACTTTTAAAAATATGAAAAATAATTTTATTTCTTACAGTATAATAAGTTTGATAAAAGTTCTGAATGTGAACAAAGAATTTCCACCAATTTTTCTCTGCAAATTCTGCTTCGCGTACGACATAATGCCAAACTGGCCCATCACCAAGCTGAGGGAGAATGAGAAATGCAGCAAAAGCACCGAAAATTGGCACCGTAAATCTTAAAATTATAAATAAACGTATTAAAATTACAAATTACAAAATTACAAACAAAAATAATACATAAAATCTTAAAATATTTATTCTTACCTAATGTATTTTTTAATCAGGAAGTATAAGTAATGTATAATTGAATTTCCTTCAATTTTCCATGCATTATAAAATACTAAAAATCCACTAAAAGAAAAAAAATTCGAATTAATTTCATTTCTAATAACGAAAAAAATGTTGCAAAGTATGAACCATAAGAATCACAATTGGGGTGTTCCCGAAACTGCTCGAATTGAGTGGATTGGATTGGTGCAAGGGCACGTTTTTCGAATTTAGTTTATGTCGGTTTATCGATGTTAATGACGACGAAATTTGGTGCTAACAGACGAAAACGGTTTTGTACCTTTCAAAACATAAATGCCAACGTCATTTGACGTTACGCATTATTGTTAGCGCACTTTCCCGACGATAAATAGAACGTCGAAAGTCGCCAAAACATAACTGCTGCATGTGAGACCGTTGCTCGAATTTTTGCAGTTTTAAAAGAAGAAGGTTATGAAAGTTGATGAAATTCTAGGCTGATATGTAATTATTTTCAAACTAAACTGAAATTTAAAAAGAATTGTAGCATTATTGTAACCAGTTAAATTTCAGGCGATTGTTCCAAGTCATCAGTTGAATTGTTATGTAATCGACAGTGAATTCTGTTTCTAATACTCAGCTTTTGTGGTCAGGTTTATAAGAAATGTAGCCAGCATCAATTTTGTTTGTGGCAATTATAAGGGTTGCAATATACTCTTCATGAATGAATGGTAGGAAGGTTGAGAACACTAATGCAGATCGAACACAATACGAATATTTTGCGATTGGACTGTTTGTGGACACAGCGCACTTTAATAACATTTTCCTCCAGCAACATGTCATGTGTTATAGCATTTCCAAACAAAAACGTCTACCTCCATCAAGAGTCGTGCGGCTCTCACTTTTTCTTGGTTATGGGAGAAAAAGAACGCCATAGAACAACGGATGTCACTACTCGCTACTCATAAATTAGCGCTAGTATTGTGCGAGCCGTTGCTAATTGGTTGTTGACGACAATTTCTCAGGTTTCCGAACTTTCGAGAAAATCGATAATGGCCAACTTCCTTATCCGGAAACACATTTTGTAACGTCAAAATCGGCTAACAGATCACGTTGGGAATAGAACTCGTGTAGTGTTCGTCCCGCTTTCGGCATAATCCTGCCATTTTGGGGATCTGAATCGAATCTGTGTATTGAACCTCCATCATTTACAAGAGAAGTACTGATTCTTACAAGTACTTTAATTGACAACAAAGCCTTTGGTGCACTCAGCTCACATAACTATAATACTAGTTTGAATATACACGAAAAAGCAATAAAATGTTTTATAAGATAAGTACTTATCAACAATATATTGTAGTTAATTATATAATATTTCATAATATTAAATACAACTTACTTGGAATGAATAAAATGTATTGGTACTGTAAGGATCGTTAGTTGCATTAATGCGTGTAAAAACCAGAAATGCTCTGTATACTATTAAATAATAGATATAAATATGATTAATATAGTACATTTAAACTTCCTATAATAATAATAATATTAAAAGTTAAAGAAAATTTCATTCATTCATTGCTAATTTGTAAATTATTGTCATTAAAAAATACTTCAATTATATTACCATTTTTAAACTGAATATATAAAATCACTGAACATTGATGGTCACGGGTTCAGTCTTCACCAATATGCTGCCCCAGTGAAATTCTCTCGGTTTTATTCCCCTGTGTAATACTTAAATAGAGGCAACCACACCATAGAAAATTTTCCACGAATGACTTTTATGAGAAAGTGGTGCCGATTTAGGTATTAGATACATAAAAATTCCCGGTAATCTCCACATGGTCAACCTTGGTTAAGCGCAAACCTTTCACCATATACGTGTTCAGTGATTTCGCCCACCCCGTTACTAGAAAGTTAGGTAACGACACTGTTGTGCTTCTAATTACGAAGTGGACCATAAATTAACGCAACAAATATCTCCAGCAAATGGCTGGTGAATTTATTTGTGGATGCACAAAAAGTAGCCCTGAATTAACACAGAACAACCAACATCAGGCACATAGAAAAAAACACGTTCGACAGACGAACGCTACAAACCTTTTTCTTTAAAAGTGCGCGAGAGAGAGAGTGCACCCTCTTAGTAGTTTTTATTTAAAATAAAATAAAACAAAATATCTTCTGTTGGTCCGAACAGACACATTGAAAATATTGTACAATACTTTTAAAAATATGAAAAATAATTTTATTTCTTACAGTATAATAAGTTTGATAAAAGTTCTGAATGTGAACAAAGAATTTCCACCAATTTTTCTCTGCAAATTCTGCTTCGCGTACGACATAATGCCAAACTGGCCCATCACCAAGCTGAGGGAGAATGAGAAATGCAGCAAAAGCACCGAAAATTGGCACCGTAAATCTTAAAATTATAAATAAACATTAAAAATTACAAATTACAAAATTACAAACAAAAATAATACATAAAATCTTAAAATATTTATTCTTACCTAATGTATTTTTTAATCAGGAAGTATAAGTAATGTATAATTGAATTTCCTTCAATTTTCCATGCATTATAAAATACTAAAAATCCACTAAAAGAAAAAAAATTCGAATTAATTTCATTTCTAATAACGAAAAAAATGTTGCAAAGTATGAACCATAAGAATCACAATTGGGGTGTTCCCGAAACTGCTCGAATTGAGTGGATTGGATTGGTGCAAGGGCACGTTTTTCGAATTTAGTTTATGTCGGTTTATCGATGTTAATGACGACGAAATTTGGTGCTAACAGACGAAAACGGTTTTGTACCTTTCAAAACAGAAATGCCAACGTCATTTGACGTTACGCATTATTGTTAGCGCACTTTCCCGACGATAAATAGAACGTCGAAAGTCGCCAAAACATAACTGCTGCATGTGAGACCGTTGCTCGAATTTTTGCAGTTTTAAAAGAAGAAGGTTATGAAAGTTGATGAAATTCTAGGCTGATATCACAAAGAGAAAATCTTTACTATTAAATAAATATCCAGCTCATCTTTAAACTTTTAATAAGAATCCAAAAATCTCCAAGTTCACTTATAATCAAAACATCAAGAACATCATGAAACAAGTTTAGACTAATCATGAAACTATATTAGAGTGTTTTTGTCGGACAAAAACACTCTAATATAGTTTTCAAAAGAGCTCCTAATTTATAGAGTATTTTAAATGATAAAGACAAGATTTAAAATGACGAAAAAAAGGACGTATATAAAATTCGATTTGTACCGTGTTTCCCCGAAAATAAGACATCCGCAGAAAATAAGACCTAGCACTGGTTTTGCTGAATTGCGAAATATAAGACCTCCCCCTGAAAGTAAGACCTAGCAAAGTTTCTTTTAGTCGTAACGGTCATCGACAGATGGTTGAAAGTGGCCGTTGGCTTTTTGAAAGTACAGCTGATTGGTCAGCAGACAATTACGCCACACAGCATGATTTGCATAAGACTATGGCTTGGGAATCACAGATTTGCATAACGTTACGGCTGGTGATGGCTAATTGGTCGGCCGGGAATCACGCCACATGACATTTGCATAGTGCTACGGTTCAGTAAGCACTAATTGGTCATCGAGTCCGATGTTGACGCTATAAAAAGGCGACAGTTCGACACACCGGATATACGTCACTCTCGCCTAAGTTCGACTTGGGAATTTTTTTGTTCAATAATAAATGTGAATTCTTCTTCCTGGAAAAAATAAGGTCTTCCCTGAAAATAAGACCTAGCGCATTTTTCAGAGCAAAAATTAATATAAGACACTGTCTTATTTCCGGGGAAACACGGTAGATAAAGAATTAGGAATTAAGAAGGACTATATTGAGGTCACAAGAAGGAATTTAGCTATCAGACATAAGGAGCCCAAATATGACATTAATAAAGAGCACTGCAACACAGTTTTATCCTGTATGGTACATGCAGAAGACTGTAGTAAAATAAAATGAAGCAACTATCCTCAGGGCTGTGCTTTCACCAACATTAGCAATGCACGAAGAAAAAATCGAAGTCTATAAAAGTAAATTAAAGGCTGGTTGTATTAAAACCTTACTGTTTATGATATGAGCAATTCCAAAAGAAAAGTTTTTCTCAATAAAAGCAATTCCAAAATTTTTTTTCAATGCTCTTCTCAATTGCAGCTATTCCAAAATTAATTTTTCTTTTCCAATACTCTTGTTAATTGTCATAAATAACTAATCGTTAAATGCTGGTAGCCGTGTAAATCATGCCACAGAAGAAATTGATTTTTTGTTATAGTCAAACCTAGGTTTTCGAATTTAATTCGTTCCTAAAAGTTGTTCGAAAAGCTATTTGTTCTATAAACGAAACAAATTTTCTTATAAGAAACAATGTAAGCTGTATTTCATGCATAAAAATGTCTTCACATGCAATGTAATATAATATTAAATTGCATGTGTAGGCATTAAAAATTTTTCTTATTTAATTTGAATTAAGAACCTTTAAACACGAATTTGTGAATTTCATTAATATTACGCGAATGTCAATTAACGAGGTTTTTGTTAATTAATTTGAATTATATTCAATTGCCACGCGTACCGAAAAACTGAAATATTGATAGTATCTTACTCGCATGAGCATTGAAATATAATTTGAATAATAACGTCAACTATGGTTCGAGTCGTGACGTATAATGACGCCAGCGATTTCGGCGCCACTAACTTCTGAATCGATAATCCGATCGTTGATTGATCGGGCCGTCGACATTTTTTTAACACGGTAAGTATAAGGGAATGACCGTCTACGGGCGGCTGTTACCGAATAGCTTGTTCGGAAACCGAGTTATCGTACGGCAACCGGGCAAATATGGCGTTCAAAAAAGTTCATAAACAGAGAAGTTCGAACCCGAGATTTGACTGTACATCGTCGCCTTCAAAGACGACGATATTGTTAACATCGTAAACGTCGTGGCCAATACTAATATAGAAAAACACACCCCAGATCAAGATCCTAAAAATTTTTTTAAGGCCACCTGTCCTGGATATATTGTGCCGGTCTGTCTCCAGGACCATCGACAACTTGTACGGAGCCCTGACTGAAAAGGCCCCCATTTTCCTTTTGTTTAAACAAATGAAATAAATAGAACAGACTAAAGTTTTAGGAGTAGTATCTACTGAGGACCACTAAGTTTACTCCTCTCCGGAGGAAAATCCCCAACTCAGCCCTACCGCCAGCTCTTCATGTCTACCACCCGGTTATTCTTGTTGTAATCCTTTATTATAAACAATTTTTTATCTTGTTATAAATTATTCTAAAATTATTAGATAATTAAAATAATCGCCTTAAATTTATAAAAAGAATATAAAACTTTATATAAAGTACCTGATAAAGAAAAAAGTTTCAATCATTGTTATTGATAACGACGCTATTTCAACAGCGGTATTATCAAACAATTCCACAACGTCGTAGGGTTTTTCTACAATAAATTAATTAAATAATTTTAAATATCAAATAAAATATTTGTGTATATTTTTATAGCAGTATACAAATTTCAGTAATTTAATGTAAATTAAAACAAAAAAATACAAATATAAACATTTTAAATACTGTATTTCTGCTATTGATTACACTGGACAACAAAAAAAATATTTTTGAAGGTTTCCTTTATTTCGTGAGTGAAATCTTACTAATTTTGGGGTGAGAAAATTGAATATGACGAAGAAAAATTTTTATTAGCTCTAGTTTCTGTGGTATACAATAAGTGATTTTAACAGCATAAGAGAAAACAATACATTTTAATTACACATGCTAACAACATTGAAAGTGCTTTTGAATTTTTTTAAATTACAGTAACATTCTGTGTTCTAAATTAGTAGAAGAATACCTGGCAGGTGATTCGGTGTGAAGAGAATCATGTGGTGACTTTATGAGATTGTTTTCTTTTGGCTTGCCTCTTGTAAGTGAGTTCTGGTGCATCCCTACACACAGACCAGCAATAATCCGCAAGCAATGCTTTATTTCAATGGCCCTGATATCTTTGTTCTAATACAGAAATATCCTGGTGGAATCTTTCCTCATGTTCATCATTGACAGCTCCACAACTAGGAGTGAAAAAGTCTAGGTGGGAATTGAGAAAATGGATTTTGAGGGACATGTTGCATCTGAGTTGATGTTTTTCCAGAAGTATTGTTACCAACTGAGTGTAGTTATCGTCTCTAACGTGTTGCCTAAGAATCCACGAATAACTCCCTTTAAGGCTTCCCAAGCTTCCTTTTGTTTTCCTTCCAAAACTTGGTCAAACGCGGGATCCTTTACAAGTTTTCGAATTTGTGGCCCAACAAAAATACCTTTCTTAACCTTTGCATTACTCAATCTAGGAAATTTATCTCTTAAGTACTTAAAAACCTGTCTTTTCTGGTTCATACCTTTGACAAAAGTTTTCATTAAACCCAACTTGATATGAAGGGGTGAAAAAAAAAACATTTTTTGGGTCCACGAGAGGCTCGGCAACGATATTTTTCTTAGTAGAGTCAAGACTTCTTGCAAGCCAGTCCGCTTGAATGTAATGTAATTTCCTATCCCTACTGTCCCACATACATAAAAAGCAACAGTGTACCCCAGTTTCATTCGTAAGAGTACAGCGATGACTTTTAGATCGCCACATATTTTCCACTTGTGCTCAGCATAATTGATTGAGTCAAGGAGGACTGTCATGTTTGCATAAATATATATTCTATAATAGAGTATAGTTTTATTATATGCTGATCTCAGGAGTTTTACACGAAAAACGCCAACGAAAATTTGAAATAATTGAAGATTCACTATTTTGTAATGAAAGATTTTTTTACAAATTTTACTATAAAACTACTCTCATATATTTTGTATTATTTAGATTACGTCAATCATTTTAAATTATAATTTAAAATGAATAAAAGTTTTAAATCTTTCGCGGACCATATTTTAGCTCTTGCGGACCACTGGTTGGGAACTGCTGCTCCAAAGCAAGAGCTAATCGGACATTTTTATAGTGATTTTTGAATTAAGCAAATGAAAATACATAAGAATATGTTAATTTTGAGCCTGAAACAAAATCATTGTTGTCCAGTGTTTTCTAAAAAATCGATTGCAATGTACAAAATTATTTAATGAATATATTAATAAGTAAAGAATTTCAAATAATTTTAACTGTAATTTCATGACATATGGTATGCCTATTGGCTGCATTAGTAACGAAGGAAAACAAAATACAATAGTATTTTCCCAACAGTGTACTGTTCTTATGTTTCACAGCCAGTGCACTAATCTACCCTTAGTTTAAATATATTAATGACATCTTATTACACTAAATGGGAGGCCTTTAAATCAACTTGGAAGATGAAAGAGTTGTCCGTTTTACGTAAGACAATGCAGCACATAGAGATCTGCCAAGGACACTTGATATGGAAAACTATTGGGACAGGTGAATAAACACCGGGAAACTTCACGTGGAAAATTTGTTAGCAAGACGCGTACATGCAACCAACTACCAGATTTAGTGATTTTATCCACCTTTCACTGGTAGGCAGAATACAAGATTCAAATTATTTATTTATTAATATTACAAATTCTTCCTTCTTATAAATTGGATTGTTTTCCATACAGTAAGTATTTTCACGTTTGTTTAAGAAAATGTATTAAGAGTCAATTAAATTTAATTTTAAAATACGTGTATTCAGAATGATTATGGTCACTTTGAGTTCAAATTTTTGTATTAAATAACGTAAATAAAATTGTTACTTCCTGCAATAGCCTTTAGTGTAACACTGCAAATTGAAAAAATACAATTTCTTAAGCTGTCTTTAATTTATTATCATATGATAACTTAAAGATTAATTAATTAAAAGTTTTAAGTTTAGCTAGTAAATGAAATTATTTTCTAATTACACTTCTCTTGTTTTCATGAATTCTGTTAGTAAATAGGGATAAATGGAATATGCTTTTCAGGCATTATCGCAGCTGGTCTGTTTAATCTTAGTCTCATATTTAAAATTTGTTAAAAATGATTTATATTATTGTAGCCTCATTACCAAAGAGCCAATTTTCCATAAAACCTCCGGGAGGTGACCCACTATTGGCAGATTACCCATGTGTGGTGTTGCTGTATCTCATTAAACAATGCAAACAGTATGATTATATTTTTTGTGTAGTAAGAGAAACGTTACTAGTTTAGTAAACTTATTTCATAAATATAATTCAAAGTTTAATTCTGATTTGGTTTTTCATTATATAAGAAACCTCAACTTTGTCATAACAATCCTATCTTACTCTAAAAGACTTAGAAATAGAAGTTTATTATACCTGCAAGCTGTACTGATAAAGCACTTGTTAAAATATAAAAAATAAGATATATTAAGCCACATTTGCAATTGAATAGTCTGTTAGAAAGACGATAGCTCACTTTACGACGATTAAAAAGCTGTCGTAAAAGCAAGCCGTTATGTTTCTAACAGATACATTATCATAAATTGAGGGTATATTCCTGTAGATACCAGTTTCGACTAAGTAATGCCAGACAGTTGTCTGTCCTAATTGACTGTCCATTAACATTTAAGGTTTTTTGTCGGATTCGACCTGCTTTCTTTTAAAGCATGCCTTCATATACATGCCAACTATGAAATTTACCGATGTTTTTTATCTAAACTTCTCATGTCAAATGTATCAAATATTTCATATTATTAAGAAATATGCAAATTAAGAGACTTACCTGCGAGCGCTGGCATCATTAATCGGTAACTTAATGAGTGTGCATACACAATTATACAAACAAGAAGAAACTTTAGACCACTGAAACACGCTATTCTTTCATCAGTATTGGTAGAACAAAGAATTTGATAAGATTTGCGTATAGATATGGCCAAAAAGTATTCTTTTAAGTTTCCTAAAATATAGAAATTGTTATATGAATCGATCGATTATAAAAAGTGAAATTCTCTCGGTTTTATTCCCCTGTGTAATACTTAAATAGAGGCAACCACACCATAGAAAATTTTCCACGAATGACTTTTATGAGAAAGTGGTGCCGATTTAGGTATTAGATACATAAAAATTCCCGGTAATCTCCACATGGTCAACCTTGGTTAAGCGCAAACCTTTCACCATATACGTGTTCAGTGATTTCGCCCACCCCGTTACTAGAAAGTTAGGTAACGACNAATTACGTAAAGTATATCTTCGATTTCTTTATTGTAGTAAGGAATAATATACAGACCGTACATTATTATATTAGTTCCATGTATAATGACAGAGTAGTGAAGTAAACAACACATTAGCAACAATAATAAATAGCAGTGTTACCCAAAAGTTGATGACCCTAGAATTATGTAACGTTTTTATAAACACTCCGTCCCTTTGTTACGCATCGTAACGATTACCTGCATACCCATCTAGCCATATCTGCGTACGAAATTTATGGACAGTCCCTATATACACAGCAAAGGATTTAAGTAATCAATTATTCAATTTCCTTAATTAGTTAAAGACTAATTTTATAGAATTCTTATAGAACATGATACACAGCTAATTCACACAGAACGAAAGATATACATAAGTATTGGCGATAAAACAGGAGATGCAACTCTATAAAGAAAGTATTATCAGATTAAAGTTCATTGTATCGGAAAATAATAAGCGTGATTTCATTAATGAAGGTCATGAGTTTGGTGCATCGTAACTGCTCCTATAATTCGTTCTATTTTCTTCGAAAGAATTGTGAATTCCACTGCATTTATTTGGGGGGTTGTATAAAAACTCAATGGCGTTGAACTTCCTAAAAATGAATTCCAGAAATGCGACTTTCTATATAGCCAGGAATCTATACCTACGTTTAAGAGTTTGTTTCTTCATCTCTCGTAGCAACTATATTTGCTCGATGTAATACCCGAATTCTTTACTGTTTAATAAAGATTACACGATAATAAACCTGCACATTTGCTATACTGAAGGAAAACACCGTAAAGAAATTCATACAAACAGAAAAGGGATGCTAAGATTCTCTGAGAAAAACGTGTATCTCATAATCGATATGATAAACAAAGATCATAATCCCCTAAATAATCACATAAATAGAACCAATAAACACTAGTTCTTTGTCGCGGGTTCGCACCTGATCAAAGGCATCAAAGTTTATTGCATTTTCTTCACTTGTCTAATATTTAAATAGATGCTAGTTTTCGGTAGAAAATCCTCCCGAAAAGTATGTTTCGTGTGTTTATGGGTTGCCCAACCTAATGAATTATCTATTCACCATAAATCGAATAATCAATCTAATTTATGTGTTTTTTTTCTCTCCTAATTCATGACATCTGTCTAATTATTAAAGCTTCGTTCTATATGAATCGCACTATACTTTAAAAAATATTTGAAGATTATATTAATTATAAATAAATTAATAAAATTTAGACTGTATTTTAATTATATTATTCAGAATTTTTGTTTAATTTTTAAATATTCTTACCTTTATTATTATTTTCGGGTATAAAATTATAATTTATCAACAATTCTATAATAGTAGCGATGATAACCATAATTATAAAAAAGCCAAATATGCCACTGTAAAATAAAATATATAATAACATCTGATATAATATAATTTCTATACTACATTAATAATATAAAATAATATAATTTTATCGCCATAGTGTATTTTCTCTATTAATTATATTTAAAGTTGAAGACACCAAAGAATCTCATTCTTACAATGTTAAGTGTTCTTAGTTATTCAATCTTACGTTTGATTGAAAATTATAGACAATTCCCATAATGAATTGTATGAATTAACAAAATAGTGTTTATCTTCTAAAACATTTTCTGTTCTAGGAGATAATGGAATCGAATCCGGACTACAAATGCCTGAATTTTGTACGAGTTCTGGCGGTGTCGTGGACTTTAAATGAAGATGATGCGGATGATTCCTAGGAATTCTAGATTGTTTCGCAGTTGCTGGACAGTCTGCGACCGCTCTGGTAGATTTACAGGTGGGCGGAATATCTAAAAGTTTTGTTTTCGCCTGTTATCTCCGACTAAATGGGTTTTCAGACCTCACTGCTGGCTGTATTCCTCCCAAAGTTTATTTATTATTTACAGATATTTCCCAGTTTCAGGTATGAAATTGTGAAGAATTCTGAATCGATATTTACATTAAAACGGAAAAATAATACGTATTGTATGTTGGATGGAAAATATTCAAGTATATCTAAAGTTTTCTCATTCGTAATAATAACAACAGTAAAAGTAGAAACTTACATGCAGATTAATTGTGCTAAAGAAAATTTTCTTTCTTCTCCTTTCTCTTTGCACATAAACACCTTGGAAGGAATCATGTCTCCAAAAACTATAAAAACAAATTAAAACTTACAAATTCATAAAAAGTAACAAAACTTTGACATAATTTCAAAAAATAACTTATATAAATTTTTTCATAATAAATTAATTTTTATTTGATTTGGTTCGATAACGCGACACACACCATGAGCGATCTGGCATAAAGGAATGCTTCCAGAAGGGACTTCGTGTAAACAAATGATCTCTTTTGGGGTATTATATGGATGACGAAAACTGAGAAAACTCCATGTTTTCATCTCATTGATCAGAATAGTACCCGCAAGCAATTAATAGTGTTCCGTAGTTTTATCCATTCAACCATCAGTGAGCCATCTTAAATTTGAAGAGAATCGTTAATATTTTATCTATTTATTTTAGAAATTATAAGGTAAACCCACGAATATTTGCTTTTTCAATTTTGATTCCTTCTTCCTTTGATCATGAGTATCCAAACGACACCTTAATCAGTTCGCTCAAGTCAGCAGTATCGGTGACCAGGTGGTAAAGCTTTAATTATTCTTTTGCTTTACAAATTTTAGTCTATTTGGGCTTAGAACTTCTTTTCCTTATAACATTGTTCTGAATTATTTAATTTTTATTAAAATGTTATGAATTATTAATGTCTTGTACTGTACAAATTATATTTTGATTATCCTTCGATTTATTTTCACTATTTGCTTTTTACACATATTATGTTCGCATTATGTAATGCATATTTTATTTAATTTATAATAAGACAGTCTGAGGATAAATTATAAAGTTTGAAAACACGATATGAACTGACACTTATGAACAAGGTATCAATCGCCTGAAAAAATCTAAGGTAAAACATATGTGATAGATCTTACCTGTGGGCCATGTTAATTGCGATTGTTTTTACAACTTGCCAGTGCCGCCATATCCAGGCAGGTGCAACAGGTGCACCCGCACAGGACCCAATTGGAAGCGGGGCTCAAAATGCATATATTTGTTTTATTATTATCCCAAATTTAATTATTAAGGGACCTAAATGCAAATTTTTGCACACGGCACATAAATAGCTAGTTACGGCATTACATTTTAACACTTGTAAACATGCGCTTAATAACAAATATGACAATGTTAAGTACAATGAAAAAAGTAAGTCTTATTAAGGTCTTATCCACAACAAAAAAGTTTTCTTCTTAATATTTTATCTATTTATTTTAGAAATTATAAGGTAAACCCAGGAAGATTTGCTTTTTCAATTTTGATTCCTTCTCCCTTTGATCATGAGTGTCCCAAACCACACCTTAATCAGTTCGCTCAAGTCAGCAGTATCGGTGACCAGGTGGTAAAAAATGGGACCCATTCATAAATTTGCTCTTCAGGATTCGATCCTGGGTGGTCCAGAGCAATAAAAAGGCGCCATAACCATTTTGAATACCAAATAGTTTAGTGCAAAATGCCTCTTAACACTGATAATTAGTTAGGAGTTTGCGCCTCACTATTAGGCTACGAGTTTTTTTGGTGTTTTCATGCGTTTAATACCTAAATAGAAATCGGTTTTTCCCATATATATAAAGTCCTTCCTGGACGCATTTTACCTTAATAGATCGCCGACATATTGTATTGCCATGTCACACCATCTCAATCCTAACCGTTTCGGCCATCCAGATTTAAACCTTCAATATCATGCAATTATAGTTTTATACATTCCAAGAAAGAATAAGTGTAACACTCATGAGCGCAGCGCCCTATGATGCCACTATAAATGAAAATAACGACAATATATCTATCTTCGTTTATAATCTGTTAATTAACAGGGACGTCCAGAGGTTAACTGGGGCTGGGGGTATAGTAGGGATAGAGCTTTTTAGGTATTGGAATTCTAAAGAAATGAGATGCATGAAATGTTTCTTTATTAATAAAAAACAGTCTTAAAGATTTTATTTTCTGTTAATAAAACTAGCATTAATTTTATTGGAGTAGGAACCATTGCGGGCTCCCGAGTTTTTTCTGAATTAGAGGAAAATGCCCAGCTTTCCCCTTTTGACTGCCTTGATAGTTAATTAAAAATCGTTATATCAATAAAAATATAATAATAATTTTATAAAAACTTACTCCAAGTGAAAATGTTTTCTAAATCAGATTCGCTGCAAGTACTTGGAATACAAATGTCAAATCTCCAGTTGAGTCTCCAATGATTCAACAAAGATGCGTATTGTTCAAAAGTGAGCGGCTCCTAAAATTATATAATTGCATGTAATATAATCTAATACGAATAGTTCGCCATTTATCTTAAAATAATTACAATAAATAAACGTAAAGTTCCTTATAGAACTCATGAAGGTGTATTAAAGCTTCATTTTTTTTATGTGGGCTTTCTAGAGATAGTCAGCGTCATGTCCGACGCCGACACCTCATCGGCAATCTCGCTCACCCTCCATTATTCAGTAGAAAAAAAATTTGGTGAGCCTAAGATTCATAAACAGAAAAGATTCAACCGGGATTATTAGTCTAATGATGTACCATTGGGCTAATAAGATCAAATTAAATAAACAAGTAAACAAAATCAACAAATTATTTCGCTTTCGTTTTTATTTTTAACTCTTTCTCTCCTATGAAAACTACGAAATTGTTTTTCATACCCAATGTGGTACCCGCTCAGGCCAACAATGAGCAACCGGGTAGAGAGGGACAGAGAATGACATATCCAGAAATAGGATTCCCTAAAACATTCCGTTGTGCAACTCTCCAGATTTGAACCCAGTTGTTTAGAGCTAGTTCTTTAACCGCCTTAACCATCAGATCATCTATATAAATATATTTCTTTGAAGTCCTCGCCCATACATAATTGTGGCATTAAAAGTATTTTTGGCAACACTTAATATTTTTAACTATGTTCTTTTATGTTTTCCTATAATGCATGCAGAAATAAGCATTTTTTCATTTATTTATTGTGCTTTATTCAATCATCTTAAACTTCAAATTACTGTATTTAATTCTATAAAATACTCACCAGCATTTCCTTGAAAATTCTCACTATAGTAAAGTTTTCATAAACGTAAGCACGTTTTTCAAATAATTCCGTAATGTACAACATTACAGAACAATATTTCCCACGAATTACTCCAGAATTTTTCTTAGATCTTCTTTTATTACTTTCGATTACAATATTCAAACATTGGTCATAATCACCACGCATCCAAGGAGTTCCTCTTAACATTCCCGCTGGTGGTTTTCCAGCTGAATCAAGCACTAAATAATCGACAAACATAATTATTAATATGACGTAGTTATATAACAACACTCATTAAATCATTAAGATAATTTCAGTACAATTGTTACAAGTAGTTTTGAACATCTGCCGTTACAATACACCTTTTCTATAAAGTGTTTTTAAGCTTTTTCTCTCCATCGGCATTTAGAAAGTCCCTTTTAAGACCATCGTTGGTTTGGCCATGCCTACAAAAGGGTGACCACATATTGAAGGTCGTTTTCCGAAATAGCCAGAAATGACCAAGCCAAAAATTTCTGGGGTTTTTCAGCGCCCGATCTCAAACCCGGATTCTTCTTAGTGTTAGGATAACGTTTTGTACACCTAAACCATCCGGTTAGCATTCTATAGAATAAAACTTATATAGCCTCGTAAAGAAAACAATCGAATGTTTTGGGGGGTGTGAGTATGCATTTTAAAATATATGTAGTATGTAACTAAAAGAAATGAAGAACTAACACACCGAGCACTCAATTTATATTTTGTTTAACATGCTAGAGTTTTATTTTAACACGTCATTTCGTTATAATCTTTAGTATATTATTTCAAAGTTAAATATTTACATAAATAAAATTAATATTTAGGCCAATTCTAAGTATTGTGTCGTTACAATCGCATCTCTGTTGCTTTCACGTTGCACTAGGGCACCTTCTTCGATACAGGTATACGTATCTGCCATTTTGTGCTACAGTGTGGTGATGATTCACGTGTTATTGTTTATATAATTTTTCCTGATTCACGCCATGTATAATTTAAAATGGCGGCTAACAGTGCACTAAATCACACAAATTCTGGTAGAAAAGTATACAGAATTTTTCTTATTACAAAGGAAAGTGAAAGAATACACGCTGGGTTATTAATTCTCTGTGAGACATGTGAGCCTTTACAAATTGCTTTTACTTTGTAAGGTAAGTACACTATATTGTATAATTGGCATAAGAAACAAGCTGTATAAATTAATGTTTTAACATGTTTAAATCGGGTTCTCATACAACACTTGTTAGGGAAAGATTTTTATTTAGACGCTTCAGAGCATTAGGCAGCTGATGTGTATAAGTTAGAGCATATGTATTTTATAAGTATGAATTGATAACAGAACTTTATAACAATACAAAAAGAAATTTAAAGCAACAATTTCCGTAACTTTCCCGGAAAAATTTTTAAATGTTTTAGTGTCATCTGCTGCAATATTTTAAAAACTTCTTATGGGCCTATATTTAATTATTATAAAATGGCAATAGTTAATTTTGAGAGTGGTGGTGAGTTTTATACAAAATTGTAAACTCTGTTAACGAGTAAAATATGTATTATGTTCAACCCAACTCGAGATATGACACGTGACCACCCTCTATTACCCCATTTCCTCTCTCCAACCACAGAAATTTAACAGTATAAAATCTTTTAATACACAACTCTCCCTACAAAATATCAGAAATTTTTGACAAAAGACACAGGAGTTAAGCTTCGAAGAGTGTGAACAGAAACGTTACATACTAACATCAGTACATACGGGAAAAAAACGGAATTTTTTTCTTTTTTGCATTTCTCGACGTTTCAAGGTTCCCAGGTCCAAAGATGTAAAAATCTTTCGAGGGATCATTTTTTGACTGATCACCATACTTTCCCTATGTTATACATAATAGCCAGGAAAGTAAAATTAACAAAGGCAACAGCACTTTATACCGCTATTGGGCTGCAATTTGAAAAAGTTGTAGACCTATAAATTCCCACTGTTGTCTGTCCATCCGTCTGTCATTCTTTAATCTTGAGAACGAAGTTAGATAGATGAAAGCGGAAAGCAAATGCGGAACCCGTAGGTACAGTAAACCCCGATTACCTGTACAGAAGCTTTTGATGCAAACCAGAGGTCATCTTATTTCAATTCAAATATTTTTCCCTTAAAGGCGTTAGATTGATGTCCGGCACAACTCTATCGTTAAAAATAAGTATGATTTACAGGAGCAAGCCATTACTAATTTGATGTGAAGAGCGTGGCATTGTGACCATGTTATAATAAATAATCGCTCTTTTAATGATAACTGTTCAACTAATACTGTCCCTGACCATATCAGTGTTTACAAAATATAAATCTGTACTTAAATTATAAAGAATGACATTATAATATAATTATTACATTTTAAGCAATTTAATTTTTAGAACCAATTTGTTTTAAAAATATAACATACACTCCTCAAAAGTAAAATCACAAAACCGCGATGGAGTGCGCGTAGCCACATGCAAATCACAGGACCAACAGAAGTAAACAACGAAGTAATGATTTGTATATGTGTTACCGCTAAAGCTCGAAAGTCGTTAATGTGTATATTATCTAGCTAATCTGCAGATTAACTAGGTTAATCCGTTAAAGTTGTGAAAATTGTTTCATTTCTCAAATTACCTAGATCAGTGATGGGCAAACTACGGCCCGCGGGCCAGATGAGGCCCCCTGAAATGTTCTATCCGGCCCGCGCGACATTATTCCTAATCTGACGAGTAAAAAAGAATACAGGCTGGGGTGATTGAAGCACCACTTAACTTGAGTGTTCGTTGATTATATAAAATAACCGAAGCTTTATATCTCACCATGAAAGTTTATTTACAATCATGTACAAAATTTTGTTTTTCACTTATTGAGTAAAAGCTCGATCGGTTACAAGCATGCTTCGGTACAGAACATCCACTCGTTGTGCGTAGTGTAGGCGAAAGAGAGAAAAAGAAATATGGCGGACGGCCTGCACATGTTTTTATAGAGCCACATGTTTTTATAGAGCCACATGTTTTCAGATGCAGCGCTAGGTTACAATTATATTGGCCCGCCTAAAGTTTTCTTCTTTTCCTTTGGCCCGCTCTTTAAAAAGTTTGCCCATCACTGACCTAGATAATGTGCAGAGTATCTAGGTTAGGGGTTCCCAAAGTGGTCGATAAGAGTTCTCCAGTGGTCGATTAATACACGAGGGTCGCTTAATACCAAAGAGGATCTATTAAACTGTCTAAAAAAATAGAATATTCCAATAAAAATTCGAAATACAGATATGATCAACATTACTGACTACCCAGTTATAAATTGAGTTTTGCCTTAGACTACGCCGCTTTAAGCATGTGTTACTCTGTTTTCACGCAGCTGGACATGTTATGAACGCTGGTAGTTCAGAAATACGTTGCATTGTTACACTCTAGTAGGGTTGTCACTCTAAGTATTTTATATCTAAATGTAGATATTTTGTCCTTTACAAAGAAAATATCGTAATATATCGAAAATCATTAATATAGTACAGAAGCGTTTGCAAGGTAAAACGTTATAATTGTTTAAGCTCGAACAATCATAATGGCCTTTCAAGCATGGAAAATGGAGCAATTTAAATCTTCACTGGCACGCACGATCCGATTTTAAATATTTTTCAAACTTGCGAGTACTAAAAGAAAATAAAAAAAGATTTTCGACCGTGATTTGCAGACATATATTAAACATCTTGATTAATTAAAAGAAAACTTTAAAGCACTTTCGAAGACTCGGAGAATATGCATGTTCCCGAATGGTTTGCTAATCCACTTGATGTAAAAATAGATAATGAAAGTTGCGAACCTGGCTTAGAAGATGAACTGATTGAAATATGTTTAGATCTCGAAGCTAAAGCGTTGTTTAAAAATAAAAACCTCAGTGAATTTTGGTGCAATAACAATATTGCCACTGAATATCCCAAGCTCAAAGCAGAAGCCGAACCTTTCTTTTTACTCGCATTCCCAATTTCATACATGGTTGAAGCTGGTTTTAGCCACGCGAACGCAATTTTGACAAAACAGAAGAACAGATTGAACTTGGAAAACCGTGGTGATTTGCGAATAAAACTTACCAATTTTCAACCGCATATCAATAATCTTGCTGCTTCCCTTCAGACATTCATCCCACTAATATCAACTATTTTAATAAAAATAAAAGGTATGTTAACATATTTTTAAGACATTTAGTAGTAGTCGCAAAATGACAGTAAGATGTTTTTTTTTCATCCAATATCACTTATGTTTTCAAAGATAATTGTGTGTTTTACGTATTTTATGACACGTACGGTTTAAGACCATAGAAAAATTTCCATCTATCCATAATTTTGCTATTATTTTTTAAGATTATAGATCAGTAAAAAATATCTCCTCCTTCTGTTAATATTATTAGGTGAATTTTATAAGATATGGGAACTATAAATTCTTTTGTTGGGTTGTTATACAGGTCTTCTTATCGCTTAACATCAGAAATACAAAAATGATTTAATATTTTTGTTAAATACTTAATCTAGGGGTCGATAAGAAGGCAAATATTCTGTAAAAGGGTAGACGGAAAAAAAGTTTGGGGACCCCTAATCTAGGTAATCCGCACATTACCTACTAGGCACTCGGTAAAGTGAAAATAAGATTTTTGCCACAAATAAATGTATCACAAATAGGTGTGCTTATCGCAAAAACCAATTGCTA